AGAAGAAGTCAAACAATCACTATTTGCAGATGATATGATAATATACATAGAGAACCCCAAAATCTCCACAGAAAAACTAATTCAACTCATCAATCAATTCAGTAAAGTGGCAGGATACAAAATCAACACGCAAAAGTCAGTAGCCTTCCTATACACAAACAATAAATCTGAAGAAGAAGAAATCAAAAAAACCACCCCTTTTATTATCGAAACAAAAAAAATCAAATATTTGGGAATAAATCTAACAAAAGAGGTAAAGGACCTATACAAAGAAAACTATAAAACACTGTTAAAAGAAATAGAAGAAGACACAAAGAAATGGAAAGACATCCCCTGCTCATGGATTGGAAGAATAAACATTATTAAAATGGCCATCCTACCAAAGCAATATACAGATTCAATGCTATTCCAATCAAAATCTCAATGGCATTCTTCAAAGAAATAGAACAATTATTGATGAAATTCATATGGAATCACCAAAACCCCGAATAGCCAAAGCTCTACTGAAAAAAAAAGAAGGAAATGGAGGCATCACACTCCCAGACTTCAAACTATACTACAAAGCCATAATCATCAAAACTGCATGGTATTGGAACAAGAACAGACCAATGGAATCGAATAGAAAATCCAGAAATAAACCCACAGATTTATGGTCAACTAATCTTTGACAAAGGAGCGAAGACTATGCATTGGAGCAAAGAAAGTTTGTTCAATAAATGGTGCTGGGAAAACTGGGTCGCTACATGCAAAAGAATGAAGCTTGACCACTACCTCACACCATACACAAAAATCAACTCAAAATGGATTAAAGAACTAGACATAAGACCTGAAACCATAAAATACATAGAAGGAAATATAGGCGAAACACTACGGGATTTGCACATCAAAGACATCTTTACAGACACATCACCCAAAGCAGTGATAGTGAAGAGAAAGATAAACAGCTGGGACTACATCAAATTAAAGAGCTTCTGCACAGCAAAAGAGACAATAACAAAAACAAAGAGAAACCCCACCAACTGGGAGAACATTTTTGCACCCAACACTAATGATAAAGGACTGATCACAAAAATCTGCAAAGAGCTGATGAGACTCAGCAACAACAAAGAAAATAATCCAGTCAAAAAATGGGCAGAAGAGCTAAAAAGAAACTTCTCTGAAGAGGAAATGCAAATGGCCAACAGACATATGAAAAAATGTTCAACATCACTTGTAATCAGGGAAATGCAAATCAAAACTACCATGAGATACCATCTCACACCAGTGAGAATGGCACATATTAAAAAAACTAGCAACAACAAATGTTGGCGAGGATGTGGAGAAAAAGGAACTCTTGTGCACTGTTGGTGGGAGTGCAAACTGGTCCAACCACTATGGAGAGCTGTGTGGAGATTTCTGGACCTACTAAACATAGAGCTTCCATATGATCCAGCAATTCCACTCCTAGGTATTTACCCAAAGGACACAGAAACATCAATTCCAAAGAGCACCTGCACTCCTATGTTTATAGCAGCACTGTTTACAATAGCTAAGCTTTGGAAACAACCCAAATGCCCAAAAATAGATGACTGGATCAAGAAGATGTGGTACATATATACCATGGAATATTACTCAGCATTCAAAAAAGATAAACACATGCAATTTGCAGCAACATGGATGGCGCTGGAAGGGATCATGCTCAGCGAAATAAGCCAAAAAGAAAAAGAAAAATACCGGATGGTCTCACTCATAGCAGGAATCTAGAAAACTTAAATAAGGGACCAGGAAAATGAATATAAGAAAGTGAAAATCAAAATCAACAAAAAAACTATGAACCAGAGACACTTTTTGGGGGTGGGGGGCGGGAGGGGAAGGATTGGGGTCAGAATGGGGCGTTTGCAATTGTATGGGGAATATAAAAATAAAATTTAATATTTAAAAAAAAAAAAATAAATAAATATAGCAGGACAATTAAAAAAAAAAAAAAAGAGGATATTAATAAATAAAATCTTTGGCCTAGAAAAAAAAAAAAAAAAAAGAAATACAGAAACACAGTTGTGCCTGAATGCAAAGTCAAATCACTTAGCTGTCTTTTTTATGTGAGATAGTTTTCACTTAATCTGAGTGGAGAAAGTCGTGTGAATCCACACCCATAACAGTTTACCCAGGCATTCAGAAAATAAATAAATAAGTAAATAAACAAATAAACTTAATGACATTGAACCAGGATACTTTCCTTTGGAGTATAAATTGGATTTTTAACACATAGAAACTTCCACCCAATGGTGAATGAGTCAAGATCTGGCCTCACACACAACAGCCCAGATCAGAATGGTGGGTTTTCAAAGGCAGTGAGATCTTCACTACAGTTGGTGCAGCACATCTGTTTTCTTCCAGCCAGGATCTAGCTCAACATCACCATCCAGGTAAAAAAGCCACCAGATCCCTGAAGTCCTTAGAAGCCCTTTGTCCCTGAAGTTTTGATGGAATCTAACTCTGCAAGGTTTTTTCTGCCAGCATTTTTGTTCTTTTCAGTTCCTATGGTTTCTATAAGTCCTCACCCTTTGAAAAGATCTTATATAAACTATAATTTATTATAGTTCCTTGCAAAGCAATATAGAACTGACAATAATTTCTTTATGGACAAACCTAGTAAAGAATTGGCGCCACATCTTATAAACATTTATAAGTGTTTATACTTTAAAATGAATTTAAAAGAAAGAAGACATTTTTGACTGCAACCACACGTAAATCACCAGCTGAGAGTTCTGACAATGAAGACGCAAGATGTGTATAGGGATTTAAAGAGAGCGTAACACCCGAGGAAGTTGCACAGAGGCAGAATCAGATAATAATGCATGGCTGAGTGGCAGTAATCCCTGCTGAAGTCTTACAGCAGGAATCCCTAGTGCACTCAGTGATAGAGTACAGTTTCCCAAGTGAGTACAACCATCAGGTGATCCCTGATCATTGCCTTTGCACAAGTTATACCTGAGATTCCCCGAGACTAAAATAGCCCCAGCTCCTCAGTCCAGGCTGAGTGGCTCAAGTTTGGTTTACCGTGATGAGGACTAACTTAACTATTTTTACTTAACCTTCTTTATAATACCATCTATTTATTGTTTTACTTCACCTGCAGGATGAGATTGTCTAGGGAACTTCAGTGTACTGGATAAATCCAGCAATGTAAAACAAATAGAGATGTTGCACAAAACATTACAAATGCTTAGCTGAGCTTCCAAGAAAGTAAAGAAAATCTTCTGGAATCAAGAATGAAGAGCTATTGCATCCAAGGAAGTTGCTGGGATGGGTAGCCTAGACTAGAGTAGAAAAAAATCTGTCCTTGCACAGGAGGTCAACAAATTGTTTTCTGCCTTGTCCAGGTTTAGTGTGTGAGGGGAATATCTTCTCTGAGGATTTGTTGTCACACCTTTCGGTAGATCCTATTTTGAATTTATTCCATACACTATGATCTGGGAATCTGAAAGCTAAATAATAATCAATAAAGTGCTCCAAGCACTGCCACCATTCTACTATCTGTAGAAGCAAACACAGAATGACTTTTTTTTTTTTTTTTTTTAAGATTTATTTATTTATTTATACAAGCACTGGATACAGTCAGAAGTGTGGGAGGGTGAGAGAATTCACCAGAGCGAGAGCAGGGAACAGAACAGGCAGACTAACAAGGGGAGCAGTGGGCGCGGCAGAAGAGGTCTGCGCGCCATGTGGGACCCTCATCAGCGGCCCGGGATCAAACCAGCGCTCCAGAGCCTGAGGGTAGTTTTGCAGCCAGCGCTCAACCACTGCACCACCAGGGGAGGCCCAAAGCACTATTTTAAGGAATACTAGCTGAGATTTTCCTAGAATTATTAAAGGCTCACCCTCATGGTCAGGAAACAACAAATTCTGAACAATATAAGCAAAAAATAGTAAGTAAACTGCAAATGTTTAAAGACAAACAGAAGATCTTAGATACAATTGAAAAGAAAAGATGAGATGAGCAGAGATTACATTTCACCCTAGCCATGTGGGCAAAACTGCTTTTTTAGCACAATTCATATGTTCTGGATTTGAAAGGATTTTGTTCTGTTTTATATACAGGTAACTATATATAATTATTTTTAGAGAATATTAAAATATTAAATACAATTCAAATTTTTAAATATGATGAAAGCATATGAAATGTTATATTGTTACCTTGGAGGACACCAATGAGGTATAAAGACTGTCATTACATTTTCTCTCATTGAAGTAATTTTCAGTTTTATAGAAAATAGGAGTTTTCTGTTTTGTGTGAAATAAAGTTGTACTTTTACATAAAATACAGTTTTTCCTTTTTCAAAAATTTTGTTCCCAGTTTCCTAAGCATTCATAAAAACATTCTTAGAAATAAAAAAAAAAAATAATTTAGCAAAGAGAAAAACACTTTGATGTTGTTTTGTTCTTGTTTGTTGTTTTGTTTGTTTAATAATAGCATAATGCTGTATCCATATTCAGGTAAGAATTATCTATGTATTCTGTGATATCAGAAAAAAACCTTACTTGTTGCTTAGGACAATAAATATAATCTACTTAGAATCATTCTTACGAGTCATAGACATCCAACAATCCATCATGCATTTCTATAAATTGTCAGTAAATTAAGCACATCTAAATTATCTGTGCAGAAATTAACTTAAATTTCTCATGTTGAAATGTATCTGAGCTATCGATTGTTTTGTGACATTGTCATTCCCTGCAGGGATCATAGCATACTAGTTTTCTGAACAAGGTGTAGTGAAATGATTGGTCATTTATACAATGTGATTGAAATTAAAGCAGTATTTTTTTTTTTACTTAATTTTTAATGACTTCTGAATTTCTCCTAATTAAAAGTAAATCAATTTTATAAGGAAGCTATATAATTTTCTCATCATATTTCCATATGTAAGTATGCTAGAAATGTTAAATTCTATGTTAGAGAATATAATCATTCAGTAAGATTTAAATTGATTGTCTCTTATTTCCTTATTTCTTCACAGATTGTGAGTGTTGGAAAGCATGTTAAAGGCTACCATTATATCATTGCAAACTTGGTAAGAATCCCTTATTTCCTAATTGGTTAACTTCCTATAGATGCAGAATTTCAATATAGATATGTTTGGATTTCTTTAAAATAACAGTCCTCTAAACAGAGAAACAACTTACAGAATATTACAAATATCTGGGATTCTTAAATTAAATTCTTTGACTAAAATACAGATGGCCGGGTCCATGTATGTAAATAAAATATTATTCAATTTTAGGAGCCACCCAGGGGTCCCAAACTACTTAGGAGTGTATGCTCTAAAAGAGTGCAGCCAGTCACCACACAAAAACAAAGGAAACAAACTCTTATTGTGACAAATCTTCAACAGAATTAGTGTGCATGGAGAGGGAGAAGAGTATTTCTAATAATAGTTTCCCAATAACCCTCCCCAGAATTACCCATACCCTCATGGGCAAATGCACAGCCAAACTGTCAGCCTGAAGCAGGGCCACTGAGCCCCAAAAGTACCTTTTGGCGGGGAAACCACAAAAAAGGGGTTAAGCAGGTCCCAAAGAGCTGGAACTGTAGGAGAAATTCAGAATTCAAAGTTACCAAATAATGCCTCTCTCCAGCATGTCTCCTCCAAGTTTCCTTCCTAGCATTATCAGGTGCAAATTGGGTCACAGGAGAGCAACAGGCCTCCCTTCCCTGTTATGTAATCTGCTCTACTCCGCCCCTACTTCCCAGTAGCTCTCCTGCTCAGTAAGTCTGGTTCATGGCATATTGGGACTTGTAATCCAAGGTGGCTGCATGTAAGTGGGGGCGGGAAAAAATGGTGCCAGTTTAGTGCTCTATAGTACTCCTCCTCTTTTCATAGTGACACCTCTGTAACATAAACATAAGGACACAGTTGGTTGTGAGTGCACTTCAGCATTATTTAAATTTGCCTTTTAATTATCTTTATGTCCAGTTTGTGTCTTCAGTTAACTATGATTCAGTCCCATGCATCATATTCTAATGAAATGGGAATAGGTTTAAGTTTCTTATGCCCCACTGATACTTTTAGCCTTTGTAGTTATTGCAGCATGTTGGCATCTCACCTCCAGCAAGCCCTAAAAAGGAGGATCCCTTCCCTATATCACTCACACATTAGGCTGATGAGGGTCCAAGAAGACTCACAGAGAACTGACACCATCTAAACAGCATGAACTGTGCCTGATATCTAAGTGAGTGGACATGTACCTCTCCCATTCATGACATTTCACTGTCACTATTATTAACAGTTGCAAATTGAAAATGGGTAAAAAATTATAAGATTGAAAGATTGCTGAAATCTTCCTTCTTTGGTACTTTTTTTTTATTTTTTTATAGAGGCATGTTTATTTATTTGTTTGTTTGTTTTGTTTGTTTATACATGCACTGGGTACAGTCAGAAGCGCGGGAGGGTGAGAGATTCACCAGAGCCAGAGCGGGGAGCAGAACAGGCAGAAGGACCGAGGTACACTGCTGAGGGAGCAGTGGCGCAGGAGAGGTCTGCGCGCCATGTGGGACCCTCCTCCAGTGGCCGGGGAGCAGCCGGGGATCGAACTGGCGCCGCAGAGGCCGCGGGCAGCTTTGCAACCCAGCACTCAACCGCTGCGCCACTGGGGAGGCCCCTTCTTTGGTACTTTTGTGGCTAGTATGTGGGTACACATGTGTTGTATTTAGACTTATCCAATATCTAGTGGTACTGGCGTAAGCACATGTTATCCCAATAAATAAAGCTCTCTCCTAAAAAGTTCCAAGAAGCTAGAGACAGGAAAATATTACCTGCTGGTTTACTTAGTCTGTTTTCATGGATTTAAATGAGAAAATTGCTTTCCAATTTGCCCTAGACTTTCTCTTTTCCAGTTCTTTGTTCACTTTGCTTCAGTTATTTTTTAAAGATAGTATGGTCATATCATTATCCTGTTTAATTATTTCATTAACTCCCGCTGCAATATTGTAAAAATAATCACACCCTTCATGAAGGGAAAAGACCCTCTGGTCTTCCCTAATCACCTGCTAATTCTTATCACCTCCCACCTCCATTGAACTTCCTGTGACTCTCTCAAAATGATATAGTGATTGCCCCAGCAGTTACCTATTCTACGAGATTAAGCATTTTAAATCTAAGCACTGCACCAATAACATCCTTTAGGATGAAGGATTTATCTTAATGCACAAAGCCCTTTAAGAATATCCCTCATTCAGGCCTCCCTGGTGGTGCAGCGGTTGAGCGCCGGGCTGCAAAGCTGCCTGCAGACTTTGCAGCACCGGTTCAATCCCTAGCCACCGGTAAGGGTCCCACATGGCCTGCAGATCTCTCCTGTCGCCCACTGCTCCCCTCAGCAGTGTATTTCATCAGTCTGCCTGTTCTGCTCCCCGCTCTGGCTCTGGTGAATTCTCTCACCCTCCCACGCTTCTGACTATACCCAGTGCTTGTATAAATAAATAAATCTTTAAAAAAAAATCTTTTATCTACACAGCTTTAGCTTATGTGTCATATCTAGCAACAGACACACCCAATGCTAGTTAACAATCACTTGTTCCAAAAGCTGTGCCTATGTATCCAATCTGATAGCCCCACTTCTGGCTTCACAATCACCCTATGCACCCATAGTATAGAATGCATGCATTATTTTTATTCATGAAATCTTTAAACTTCCTCTGTACCAGATACTGTCCAACATCCTGTGGTCCAGCCACAAGTAATACATCAGTACCCTGCAAACTCAAAAAGGGCAGGAGCAGTTTTCCCTCTCCAGGCTTTATTTAGTTCAGGTTTTTCTTGCTCTTTGTGGACTATATAGTTCTTTCCAGGCTACTTTAACAGTAATTTCAGCATCACCTTCTACCTGAACCCCAAAATTCTGGAGTGTCTTCAAGTTGTGACTAGGCAGTCAATGTATTCATCAAAGAAGTTTAACACAGCCTTGACCCCAGAGTTTTCTCAGATGTTCACTGAAGACAATTCCTTGGAAGAGAGTCAGCTGCCTTCAACCTATCTCAGAAAGGTTAATGAAGAACCTTGGTAACTTGACTCTCAATCCTAATACCAAGCTCCCTTGCACTTTACCAAAATGTCCACCCAAGAGCTGGGACTGGTGGCATCATACACTATAAGAAGAAGGGAGTGAGGATAGTAGTGATTGATAGGAAAGATTGAGCAACAGGCTGGTAAATATCAGATGTCAATACCTCACCCAATTTTTCTGCATCAAGAAGAAATACAGTGGAAGAAAACAGAGATTGAAAAAGTAAAGAGAAAAAAAAAAATCAATGTGGCTGTCATTATTGCCTGTATCATAGTTTCCTGAGGAGAAAACCATCATGAATAATAATTATGACACAGGGCCAATTTAGTCATAATCTTACCCTAGCGCTATTATTTCTCAATAGCAATTTTAGGATCTTCACACAGCAACTTAGATAAGCTGTTCTGTATGTGATGGACTGTGTGCCAATATTTGATACCTCATCATATAAGTTCTGTGATGTCTTTTTTGTGTCTTTCTTTTCTAACTCAATTTAGTAACTTAGAAGGAATCATAGTTTGCATTTGAGTGACTTCATATTCTTTATTCCACTTTTTTATTTCACCCACAGAAACACTCACAGATCTTGAGTATTGTCTGTATACTTTAGAGCCTTAAGTCAGTAAGATGAAACCCACAGGAATTTGAAGCAAAGTAACTTGTTTGGGAGGAATGTAAAGAAAACTATTGGGTGATTTTTATATAGGACAGCAAGAGGCACTAAACTGGCCAAGGACAGTGCCCCAAATAGTTTACAGGTCACTGTCTGAGTTCTTCATCACGTGCCCAATTAATTGCAAGACTACTCAGGTTTAGAGAACAAAAAAAAAAAATGGATTTATTTAATAAACCAGAGAAAACAGAGTTACTGAGACTGTAACAGGGTGGTCCCCAGGAAAGGGGAGGTTCCCTGCCCCACCAAGGGAGGGTGGAACTGAGCAGAAAGAGGAGAAGCTGCAGAAGAGACTGAGAAAGGAAGCAGGATGGAGCCTAGAGACATGTGAAGAAACTGCGCTTGTTTTTTGGTTGTGGACGAGTGACACAGATGTGGGTGAGACCCATGGGGAGGTGACAATGGCAGCTTTTTTATCTTGATGTTGATTTTGCTCTTTTCCTTCCGGGCTTGTCCGGTTGTTTGTGACCCTTTGCTGTGGTCCCCACTGGAAGATGCTTTAGACTTGTGGCAGCTTTGGGGCCTTGCTCTGGGCCAATCCATATGGATGGATTTTACCCATGAGGGGACGGGTAATTTGGGTGCTTGATTTAGAAACTAGATTATTTGCCTTTCCTGTATTGTTTCCTAGTTGTATTAAAGTTCCTTCCCATTAAAGTCTTCTATGTTTTGTGTTGATGCGGCGGATGGCAGAACCCATTTAGAATAGGCAGGTTTGCGGGGTTTGGGCTGCCCTCTCCCTGTCCTATAACAAGACCACAAATGGCTGTTAACCTTACCCGAAGCAGTGTCAGTGCTTTAAAGACCTATTCACAAAGCTCCCAAAATGGTATCTTCCCGCTACTGAGGATGTGGCACTCCTATCCCAACAAAAGGTCGTGCTCCCAAGATGGCATCTTCCTTTCCTTTCAGGCTATAACAGCAGCGAAGCTGGAAACGCTTTCAGTTGCTTGGCTACTTGCAAAGCCTCTGAACTAAGGTTGGCTGCTGGAAGCCTCTTCATGTCCTTCAGAAGGCCCACAATAACCTTCTAATTTCAACTGGAATTCTTGAAGATCCGAAAACGCTGAATTCTGAATACTGATCCCTGGAGGCTGCTTCTGCAGTCCCTCATATTTCTTATCAGGGTCTCCACCCCACCAATACTTTGCTATTTTGCCTGGAGCTATCAATCCTCCCTCCAGGGGGCGCCACCTGTACCAGTCTTTGGCTTCAACTGCCTGTTACATTTGGCTAGAGCATAAATATAGCAGGGTGTTTTAACTAGATTTCCTGGAAAATGGGTCTTTATTTTACAACTTTATCTACGAATGGCGGCTTATCCTTCAGCACCCAGCTCATGTCATTGTATTTATTATGGTACCATGATTCTCCTAGTTAATCTTTAAAATAGATGTTTATTTAATAGATAGGAAAATGGGATTCAGTGTAATTTTCCAAGATTACACAGATCAAAAGCAAGATGGAAACTGTCCTGTCTGATTACAATGAATAAGTAAGTTCAAATAAATAAACAAACTCACAGACAAGTAAATACCTTATATAGCCCCACAGTGACCATTTGCTTAAGTAACCATATCACTCTTAAGAGAAATCTGGCCTTAGAAACATTCTTTGAATTTACATTTAAATCTTTCTCTCCTCCAGCAGTCAGATAATGTAAATATGGCCACCAAAAAGAATTAATGACATTTATTGCACCTACAAGAAATTCTGAAAATCTCGCTCTCATTTATTTAGATTTTTAATTTTTTAAATATATTCAACTTATATCTAGGGAAACACCTGATTCTGTATATAAAGAAGTATCAAATTATAGAATGGTTCAAGCTATATGATTACAGATTAACTGAGCATATTCCACAGCTTCCTCACCACACCACACACACACTCTGACACACACTCGTGCACACCCCATTCATGCCTCATTTAAAAGGTGAGGAAAATGAAGAATATAAAGATAATGTGATTTTTTTTTGACATTTAGGTACCTAGTTAGTGTCAGAATGGGAGACTAGAACTCAGTTCACAAAATTTGCAGCCTAGTAACATTTTTACCCAAAAGCAGTGCTCCCCCATTAAAATTCCATGACTGTGGAGAATTGTTTTAATTTGTTCTTTATGCTTCCCATACTTTTTCATTCTTTATGCTTTCCTATATATTTTTTTTCATTTTTCTGCATTATGCATGCCTAAATCTATCATCTCTCTACTTAATCATCAAACATTCACTCTCTAAGTCAATTTCTTGACAACCTAATTTTTGTTTGTTTATTTAAAGATTGATTATTTATGCATACAAGAGCTGGGGTGTAGGCCAGAGGTGCGGGGTGATGAGAGG